TGCGCCTGACGCGATAAAATACATTGTAGGCTGATTAATATAAATTACTTGTCATATCCCTAAAGTAACATCTGCATAATGTAGGTGGAAATAGCATTAAGACTTAATTGTAGGTGTTGGATCATTGCTGCAAGTGCCTATCTTACCGCCGTTTCTAGTTAGCTGTTGAACAGACTGTTCCCAGTAAGCCTACCTATCTACGGACCCTTGACTGAGAGCAAACTTCAAGCGTATGGAAGAAGTCCAAATGTAGACATGCGAAAAGTATAGGCAATAATGGCAAGTAATGGTGAGTGGTGAGGCCGACAGAAATTGAAAAGGCAGTGGTGATAGGTAACAAAAGACAGTTAGTTAGAATTATCAAGGTAATTTAGGAATGTTTGGGTTATGGTTGTCACCACCCAAATGTAAATTGTTGCTACAGGATTGGTGTTCCATGATATCTTGTTTAGCAATTCACTTACCTGGGAAATTGGGTTAGTCCTAATGAATGATCGACGAGATCTCTGCACGGATACAAAAGGTTACCTGGCTTCTGTCAACTCACGTCAATTATATAGGTGCCATGATATCCGACTACTCATTAAGGGTCGGGTGTACTGCACTGCAATTCGCTCTGTTCCACTATGTGGCTGCGAAACACGATCAATAAAGGTAGAGAACATGAGAAAGACTCAGGTATTCGGCCACCGTTGCCCCCATATCATAGACCTTGTAACATGGTACCACTACACCAGTAATTTAAAAGTCAGATATAGAGTTTTGGGTATGCTAGGGTAAGTTGGTAGATAAGGTTGTAAAACCTCATTAAATGAGGTGGCCGAAACATGCGTTACATAAGTCTCGACACTATTTTCCCCAGGCAGACAAAAACAAAGTGGAAACTTTCAAACAAGTGCATCGGTCCCAGTTGTCACATTTCACAACAGTATGTAGAGAACCGATGGACAGAATAAGAGTGATATCAAAGACAAAACAGTGTGAGAGAACTATCAATTTGAAGATGAAGGTTAGTGCGAATTTTCAAGCATTAGAAGATGTCAAGGAGTGAATGCATCTGACCGATTTTCAGCCATGTCACCATGTCCTCAACCACTGATTCCTGTCGTCTACATCTCCCAACAGGGCCCAAACCAACAGTCGGGGAATTAATGGACTAGTGATACGTCTTGATCTGGTCACCCTTAGTCTTCTTCCAACCTAAACCAGTGTCTCCAAGCACAGCACGTCGTGGTAGGCGTTGACTTGGCATGCGCAACACATGTCCAAACCACCTCAGGCAATGAAGCTTCATGACCTCATCATTTGACTTGCCTATCTTACCTAGTACCCTTCGTTTGACTTCAACATTGCTCACATGGTGATTCCAGCAAACGCGAGAAATGCTACGAAAGATATTTGTGATAAAGTCCTGTGACTACTGCATTTCTTCTGTTCTTATCGGCCATGTCTCACGGCTCTATAACAGAACACCGTGCAGCGCATTATACTCGTCTTTTAACAGGTAGCCGGATATCTTACCAGGATCAGAGATGACGGGGCTTGGTAAATGCCAAACGGGCCTTCTGTATTCGAGCTGAGATTTCGTCAGCAACCAGCACGTTCGAGCTGATGCAAATTCTCAGGTAAGTGAAGTGGTCGACACAAACCACTTCTCTGCGTATCATTAAACTGGGAGTACTTGAAGACCTGCTCTGGAACATCAAGTGGGAAAAGCATACCAGTCATATTCAAATTTCTGCTCAACGCATCCAGAAGACCCTGCATTTTGTCAGCGTCTTCATCTAACAGGACAGTATCATCTGCATACTTCAAGTCAACCAGATGATCTCCTTGGAGTATTTGAACCCCCTATGAAATCAGACATACATATGGTTATTTAATTTAGCACGTCTATGACGAAGTTAAATAGAAACGGTGACAGTGGACATCCCTGGCGATCACTAGTTATCGACTAGTTCGCAACACCTCTCCATAAGCCCTCAAACGTCTGTGAGTTCGAGCAGATAGCTTTGTTTATATATATGCTTTTTCGAAACTCCCTTCATAGTCAGGCGCTGCTACAACACCTCATGGTCGACTGGGTAAAATATCGCCTTCAGGTCAAGAAATATGGCAAGTATCAGCTATTGGCCAATAAGCATACTAGTGTTTACAAACCTGTCAAAGGGTCAAAATCTAATCGATGCAGCCTCATCTGGTTCTAAGACCTACCTGGTTTTCTCGAGTTTACTCTTCTAGAGCTCCAGTTTGGCGTCAAATAACTATGGACTCTAGGATTTTGGACCCAACATTTGTCAAACTAATTCCCCAATGTTCGTCACAAGATTTCTCCGTCTTTTAGATTGAGATGATGTGTGAAGTACACGTTTGACGGCACTACCTCTGATTCCCATACCCCGTCACTTTAGTTAGCAATTTCCCACCTCCACCCTTAAAAACTTCAGGTAGCAAACGCTCGGTTCCTGCAGCTTTGGATCGTTTCAGGTTCGATACAGCTTTCTTAACTTCATGGAGAGTTCGGGGACGGAGATCTACGTCCCATTGGGGGTTCCGACTGGATTTTGGGCAACTGAAGCATTGCTGAGGGCTAGTTGGACTGTGCTTCACAATGTTCTGTCTAACGTTCTAGCCGCCTATCCTGAGAGGTTATCAACATCCCATCCCTTTCTTGGCGGTATCCTTGATAATCCTAAATAGTTTCTGAGTGTTACTCGACGTTGATGGCATCTGTCTCCCTCGCTTTCGCCACCCACCACTGCTCTCGATCAACGCGAAGACTTGGTCAGCTTACGCTTCAGTTGCATTCACTTTTTCGTGGTCAGAGCCAACTGGAGTCAGTTTTCTCATATCAATTAGATCGGATGACGCCGTGGAAATCCGATAACGTTTGCTAACCTTCGAGTGTAAGTTGTTACTAGTTGTCTTCACCACTATTTCTACAGCCTAACATCACGCCAGGTCGTCTCACGATGAACATTTCTGTCACGTTCAGATGAATGCTTGGCTAACTCCTCTGTAAATGCATACTTGGCGTTCTCATTTACCAATCGAGGACAGATGAGCCTTACCACTTCCTGTTTCCTGCGATCAGTAAAGCGCAAACATACACGAGTCCGTACCAGCGCATGATCGGAGTCCAAACTCCTCTACCGATCCTCTCTAAAGATGGCTTGTAGCAATGCGATCTATCTGTGTCCATCGTTGGTTTGAAGTCTGTAGACGCCATGTGAGACAATGTCTCCTTATGTCTGAATTTGGTGCTGGCCAGGAACAAAATTTCAAGAGATGACCATTGTTGTCGGTTCGTTGCCAGTTAGTTTTTCGACCACAGGTGTCTTCGTAGCATTGCTCACGTGTGTTGGAACCAACATGTGAGCAATGTTGAGGTCATGGGAAAGGTACTAGGCAAGACAGGCAAGTTGATTAGCGAGGTTTTGAACATTGGTCGGTTGAGATGGCTTAGACATATGTTCACATGCCGAGCAACCACCTTCCTCGACGTGCCATGCTAGGGAAAGTTGGATTAGGATAGAAAAATGGTTCAGGGTGACCAGTCGAAGATGTGGCACCGGTCGATGAAGTCGCTGACTGTTGGCTTGAGAGGTGTAGACTCTTGGTTCGTGTCCCCAAAACGAAAGGAATCAGTGGTTGGGAACACTTTGTGATATAAGTGAAAACGGGTCAGAGTGGTGCAGATACATTCACTTCTTGACATCTAATGCTTGATTATTCGCACTAATCTTCATCTTCAAATTTCTAGTTGTCTTACACTACTTTGTCTACTTTGATATTCATTCTATCCACCTGTTCTTTCTATACTTCTGTGAAGTGTGGCAACGAACCAATGCACCTGTGTGCAGGGTTCCACGTTGATTTGGTCAATCACTCATAGGATTCTGTAAATACCCCCGTGATGCCTTTCCAATTGGCTCAGCTTCCCTAGTTGAGCGTTGAAGTTACCTGCCGTCTGAACGTTTTGCTTTCTGTAGCAAACTTGACAGCTCATAGAATTCATCTTTTGCGTCATCCGAACTAAAGTTGGTGGGTGCATAGGCGGACATGACTAACAGGCATCACCTGGTTTAACAATCCTTCCTAGGCCTTACAGACCCATTAAGTCGAGCAGCACATAGACGGCTGTTCACTGGTATCCAGTCGAGAAGCGCATTTTCTACTCTGCAGCTCAATGCTATGCTTACTCCAGCGAGTCCTCGAGAGCTAGTCACTGGGTCTCCAGATACTCGTGAGGTGAATTTTGAAGATTCACTACTATGGCCAAGTGATGTCAATTTAATAACCACACTTGATTCCTGTATACGTGTCTTTGAGATATAGCATATATCCATGGCTAGAGATTCCAGAGTTTTTGCGAGCGATGCTTGCTGTCCAGTTCCTCATAGAGTTCCGATGCTGAAAGCTCCTGAGTGAAATCGATGGCGAGATCTTAGGAGACTAGGAATGTGGTTTCGAAAGCTTTGATCGTTAGCAATGGTTGCACAGTGAGAGGTTGGGTGAGGCGTGAGAGGCTTAATATTAGTGTCAGGAGGTGAAGGCTAGGGAGGAGATAGTTGAGGTGGATAGGTTATGTTTGGTTGGGTCTTGTGTGTTATTTTTGGGGCCGACTTGTTCCAATCCCCCTTCAGCGTGGGACTGCTAGTCATTCAAGGGAAACACCGTATTGCTGTCACACCGCATTCAGCTAGCAGCAATATGCCCTCAGACCTCTATCATAGTGTAGTAATTTAAAATACAATGATAACTGCATTTTGTCTCGCCACTACTCAACAGACCTTTCTGTCATAGTAGAATATTGAGGGAACAAGCGTTCCACCAGCATAGGTCGTTGGGTCATTGTGATGTAAAAGCCCGGTCACCACGTCAAGGTAGCAGCCATCGGTCGGTGATTGACGAAGTCAGTGTAGAAACTCGCACACGTGCTGCGGCCCAAGTTGCCACACTTCACAGTAGTACGCCAAGAACATGATATATTAAATTTGTCTGATATAAATATATCATACCTCAAATAATAAATAAAGTAGTAATTCATGATGATAGCCAAGAGTACTGTTTTATTGTGGCGTATCAAATATGTTTATTTATTAGGGACATTTTAGGCATTTTGAGAGTTCTAAGAAGGTTGTGTCCTGAGTACTAACTTTCTGAACATCTGACGATGTGTAAGTGTACTTAATCTTCATATTTCATGTTTGGCGACGTAAATTGACCGCATGAAGTTAACATGGACGGTGTTATTGATTGGAGTGTGCTGTTGAACTGGATACTATGCTCCCGTTTTATAATTTTTGATCATACAAAGTGGTTCTGTGTTCCAGACGCTACTGCTGATGATTAAGATGATGAGGACTGACGATGGTACGAATGTTTATCCATTGGGCTTTGGGCCACACTTATTTATTGAAGGCTTATAATAATACTTGACTGGGAAAAGGGGTAATTCAGAGAAGAAAATTTTCTTTTTCGATGATATCATTTTCTAAACCTTATATATATAATATATTATATATATATATAATATATATATATATATATATATATATATATATATATATATATATATATATATATATATATAACAAATAACAGTCTCTTATTAAACAGTAAGATGTAATTGATTGCCCGGGCCGAAGTAAATGGGGAGAAATTTGATCCCAAGACCCACTGCTTAAAAGTCAAGTGCTTAAACCGATGAGCCACAACTTTATGAAAACAGTAATAATCAAAGGATTTATTTGTCACTAGAGTGATCGATTAAAACATTTCCCTGAAGAAGATCGAAATGCATTCAGCCACATTGTGGATATCCATCCTGTAGGGAATGGGCCACCACTATCGTGTGACGGCTAGTGATACTACGTGGCTGCACCGAACTTTGGTAGGTGGGGCAGTGCTCGAACCCACGACCCCGTGATTGATAGTCATCATCCTAAACCACTAAGCGACAGCTCCACCTGAAGAAGTTCGGATCAGACTTCCATGTGAAACGTTGAAATTATTTCATTTGAAACACACAAATACAAACTATACCTAATGTACAAATACGTTGATTATGGCAACCACCACGCCATTGATGAAGTAATCAATAAAATATTTAAAATAAAGTTCGAATAGATATAATCATGGGGAGAACTAGGAAACCTAATTATGTGGAAATAAAATACCCATATTTGTCTTGCAGTAGATTTCCAGGGAAATAAGGATATTTCTAAGCAATCTTAAATTTATTGGAATTAAGTTGGCGAAAAAGGTTCAGGTAGCCAAATCGAAAGTGTACATTTGTCTATAAAGTCTGTGATTGTTTATCTGGTTTTTCTCCATCAGGCAAGCTTGATCGATGGTTAAAAGCCTGAGTTGACTTTGTATAGAATCCTTAGTTGCACTGATCCATTAAGATCTCTTTTGAATCTTATTATAACACATTTCCGCTTTATGTACTTCTCGTCTTCTGAATTTTTACCCTAGCCAATGTATTCTTCATTATCCTACCTCTACTATTGTTGACTTGAATTTGAAGTGTGATATGTGAGAAGTTGAACCGGCATGCATTTATGTTAGGTCTTATTTTGTTTTAGTCTTTGCTACTTAGAATTCTAACTTCATCCTATTTCGGCTTATATAGCATTTCGAGGCAGTCAGTGACTTGGGATGTGTTGAACAATGTCACTTGTGAGTGGATACAGAATTGCATGTGTAAATTCATTGAGGATGATTTGTTAGATTGAATTTTGTTTTATTTTTGTTCATCAAATCAACCTCTAAGTACATTACTCTGTTTAATCACTACAGAGTTCTTTTTAATGCAATTGACGGCTGTTGTCAAATATAAAAAACAAAGTGGTATTTTGTGTACTTGAGAAGTGTCATAGACAATCAGAATATATCAGATAAATGTTTAGTAAAATTTCACTAGCATTTTTGGGTGCTTTCAGTAAATTTTGTGTTTTATGTTTTGCAGATCTTTTAACTTTGACATCAGACTATTGTATAGCCTATTTCCAACTAAATGATCTTTAATCCGAGTTTTTCATTCGATATCGTGGTAAGTATGCCCAATATTTGTTGATACAGTGGCATTTTAGGATACTCCACCTGTTGCAGATGTCCAAAATACGTCATCCGCCCACATCCCGATCACTAGATTGGTGGATACCTTAATAGAAACATATCGTAGAGAAATTGACCCAGATGAGAGTGTTGAAACTTGTAACGGTGTTATTCCGCCAGGAGTTGTAGAAGATGAAAGTTGCGCAACCCGTTTCACAGGTAATTGTGTTGTAGCCTTTCAGCTAAGATTTTTAGATGTTGTTCGCGAGAAGAGTAATCGTGTCCATAAAAAGAAAGATGAGGTAAATGTACAGCTTTACTTACTATCAGTCAAAAGCCAGAGAAATTTAATTTTACCCGTGCTGTTACGAAATACAAGCAGGTTTCGTCATTCATGGAACTTAGTTTAGCTAAACCATTACTTAAGGTAGGTCCATTTTAAATTGTTCTTATTATTAGTCACTTACTGAAATGTCTTTGGACAAGCCAACTCCTATTCAGTGCGCATGTATTCCTGTGGCTCTTCTTCATCACGATATATGTGCTTGTGCCAGAACAGGTTCTGGTAAGACATTGGCCTTTCTGTTGCCTATTTTGGAGAGGTTAGCAAAAAAACCTACCGATTTTAACTATGCAATTACTCGAGCACTTGTGATCAGTCCAACTCGGGAGTTAGCTGTACAAATCTTCAATGTTGCTGAAAAGCTTGTGAAGTATTGTCCAAAGCTCCGAATTCAGTTAGCTGCTGGTATGTTTACTATTATGCAATACTCAATGACTGAATAGGGGGACTTGATTTACATTCTCAAGAAGCTTCTTTACGTCTAAGTCCGGACTTGGTTATTGCCACACCTGGACGTTTAATTGACCATTTATCAAACGCTCCCAGCTTCAACTTGCAACACATCGAGTATTTAGTATTAGATGAAGCCGACAAGTAGGTTCTATATCTTCTATTCTTTTTGTAAGACTCTTAGATGAATATTTCACAGAGCAAATCGCAGAAATCATCAAGTTCTGCAGTAAAAGACGCCAAACATTATTGTTTTCTGCGACGATGACCGAAAGTGTGAGTTCTCGCTTTTCATATAAATTTGCACCAATCAGCCTAAATTACTTTTTGCTTTCCAAGTACTATAATGCTTCAAATTTTCAGATAGAAGAGTGACTTTTTGCAGATATTTGGATGTTGTATGCAATGTTTCAGGAATAACTGAATAAACAAATTAATAGTAGTAGCTATAAAACTAGTAGGTCCAAGACCAAATTTCTCTACTGAGTAATTATTTCTTATCAAAGATGTAACTTGTAACGAGTAATGTATACTTCCTTATATCAAGTTACAAAGCAAAAATTATCGTTCATAAGTTTAGTACATCTAAATTTCTGGGGCCAGCTATACTGAATAGGTTGCATATAGTCCACTGGCTTGTAATTAGCATACCATTTTATTTACGTTGAATGTGCACTGATTGCACTTGAACCATCTGTCAGACGCTTGCAAATTGTCGTGTGTTGCAGGTCAAAAATGTTGCATTTCTTATCATTGGAGCTTGTTATGGTTTACTAAGTAAAACTATTTCATGGATTAGTCTTAATTTGGGGATCTGAGTTCAACTACATCACGAGATTTTTCTACTAAAATGCTTTAAATAATGCAGTTGTAGTGATCGTAACCTACTACAGTCTCCATACCATGGATAAACGAGCTAAATTGCTAGACCTCTCTAATTTTTCTCTCGATAACGCTGCAGCTGCTCATATGGCTAGATTCGAATATCTAACTAATTTTCGGGATTCTACGCGATCAACTGGCCATACATTTTCCCCTTCGTTGTCCAGCTGATGGAAACATGGGAGTTACAAAGTTACAACAAGTTTTTTAAAAAGTATTTTGATCTACGAAAACTGCATGACCCGCTTTTAATGAGCTTAAAATTACTCGTAAACGTTAAATAATACAAGCGAAGACAGCGTTAAAAGCTGTCTCAAATAAAGGCAGACTGATGGACAGAAGTAACGCAGAACCTCGCAGAGAAGTGCATCGGTTCAAGTCGCCACACTTCGCAGTAGCATGCCGAAAACATTTGGGTTGAAAAAGCGATGTCAAAGTAGGCAATGTGTATAGGAGAGAAAGAAATTTAGAAGCAAGCCAAGTAAAAATGCTCAAGCCTTGGAAGACCTCAAAGAGTGAATACATTGCGCTATTGTGACCGATTTTCATGTATGTCACCAAAAGTCTTCAAACATTGGTTCCTGTCGTCTCGAGGACCCCAGCCAGGTAATCTACATCTCCCTACACGGCTCAGATCAACAGTCAGAGACTTTATAAACTGGTGCCACATCTTGGTTTGGTCTTCTTTCAACCCAACCTTACTTCGGCTAACATTATACGTCAAAGTTAGTACTGGGTCGGTCATGCGTAACACATGTCCAAGCCACCTTTTACTTAGTACCCTTGACCTAACCTCGACACTGCTCACGCGGTGATTCCATGAAACATGAGTAGTGCTGTGGAAACGCCTGTCATCAAAAACCTGTAACTTATATATATTTCACTTTCAATGGCTATATCACACGGACGTATATGATAGGGCCAACAGCAGTGCAGTATACCAGTTGTCAGAGGCTATGCTAATCTTCTGTCAGCAATCAGCTGACGCAACTCCCCAAGTACGTGAAGTGGTCAATAGCTCCTACCACTTCATTGGATATCCGTAAGCGGAGTAGCCACAGGCCAGTCCTGGAACATCACCTAAGAGACAAGAAAAACGCGTGCCAAACAAAGACAGGCTTCTGCTCAAGGCGTTCAGAAGACACTGCATTTTGTCAGTGTCTTCACTTAGCAGGACAATGTCATCTACGTTTTCCAGTTTAACCAAATTTCCTTCATAGAGGACAGATTAAGTCATGCAAAGTCAGACTTATCTAAGGTCATGACCATTCATACACTTATAATGAAGTTGAACAAAAACGGTGACAGTGGGCATCCTTGGTAGACACCATCAATTATCATCACTTTAGATAAAAACTCTTCATAGGCTCGCATACGGCTGCGTGGGTGCGAGTAGACAGCTTTGAGTAACGATGGATATTTACTCGATATTCCCTTCACAGTAAGACACTGCCACTGCAGAGTCGAATGCCACCTTCAGGTCAAAAAATATGGCAAATATTGGCCCCCGGTAAGTATACCTGTGTTCCAGAACCTGATGAAGAATAAAGACTTGATCAATGACCCCTCGTCCAGGTCTGAAATCTGTATGGCATTCTTGCCTGTAGTTTTCTCGAGCCCCATTTATGCATCTGATAACTAAGGACCCAACGATCTTTGACACAGTATTAGTGGAACTGATGACCCTATAGTTGTTACAAGAAGACTACTCACTATCTAACACCTCTATCACTCTACTTAGTGACTTCATACCTCCATCACTGAATCGTCGGGTGGCAAATCGTGGGATCCTGCTGCTTGGCATCACTTGAGACTTGAAACAACCTACTCAACTTTGAGGAGAGTTGGACAAGTGACATCTACGTCCGATTCATGTTCAGGCTGGATGCTGGGCAAGTGAAGCGTTGCTGTGGGCCATTTGGACTGTGCTTCAAAGTGTTCTGCCCAACGTTCTAGCCGTCTGTCCTGGGAGGTTATCAGGGTTCCATCCTCTTAGCTGATGGTTTCATTTGCCATCGACTTCTTCTTGCCGGTATCCTTAAGAAGCACAAATAATTCCTGGGTACTACCTAATGCTGATCCCTTCTTCATTTTTCTCGCTTTCGCAACCCACCACTTCGCAATCGTTGAGAAGACTCCTGTTCAACTTACTTTAAAGTTATTTTGCTCCTAATTGTGAGTCCTCTCGCATAAATCAGTTCGGATGACATTACGGAAATCCACTGACGTTTGGTAACCTTTGGATGACGGTTATGAACCGTCTTTTTCATTGTTTCTACAGCAAACTGAATATTAAGACACTCTAAAAAGAGCAGCGACCCTCCCTGATCCTCCCAACGATGGCTTATAGTAATATGATATATCTGTGCCCATGGTTAGTTTTATGCCATTGGACACCAATAAGACTGTCTATCCTTATGCTCGGAGTTATTGCTGGTCAGAAACAAGTGACTGTCATAGCTAAACGACCATCGTTTTCGGTTCACTGACGTTTGGACTCCGTAGATACGTCCAAGATGCTTTTCTGACTGGCTTAACTCCCCTGCTTGATAGCAGAAGTCTTCTGTTGTTATGTTTATATCTGAAGGTTTCGTTTCGTGTAGCAGAAATGATACCTTTTGATAGAATTCACCCTTCGTACGATTCGAACTGCAGTCGGTGGGCGCGTTGGTAGAGATTCTGAATGGACATCAGCAAGTCTCGCGACGGTTTCTAGTCTTTATAAATCCACGCAGTCGGACGGCACGCATATCTGTTGATTGTTTTCCAGTTGAGAAGTTCACTTTCTACTCGAAAACCTAGTGCAACTACCCACGACAGCGAGTTCATGGACATTTCGGATACTAGTAAAGGGGTTTTTAGATCTTCAGCATATTGACTAGGTGAGGTCAAGTGAATTACCACACCCGGCTCCTGTATACGTGTTTGGAAAGCAGCATATACCAGTGAATCGCGATTCGGGATAAGTTTCGAATGTTGAAAGCTCTAATGTGAAAATGACAACATGGTTTTAGGAGACTAGAAGTGGTGTTTCGCTGGCATAGATCTTCGGCGATATTCACAGGGTGAAAGATGAAAAAAATTGTAAGAGGTCTAAAATTGGCATCAGCAAGTGAAGTCAAAGGAGGAGACAAAGCTTAGAAGGGTAGGTTATAGTTGATTGGATTTTGTACACTGCTGAAAGGTTAAGAAGTTGGTACTTCCTGCGTGCGCATACCGTGAAAGTTATTTCTGCAGGGTATATAAAAAAGGAAGGGAATTGTTTTGCATGACCACAGAAGATATCAGATATCTGTTTGAGGCATATCATACATCACCTTAATCAGATTGTTGGACTTATATTTTATCATGTTCACGCCAGGCAAGAAAATCCCATACCTACAGCATCGGAATAATGCAGGGCCGAGACGAGTGAGCTATTTTTGTGGCTAACCTTTTCTAACCCCTCTTCCCATAGTGAAAGCAGCATCAATGAGACTTTGCTGCTGGTTATCCGTGGGAAACATCATACCGTTGTTACGTCTGATCCAGTCAGCAGTAGAACTTCGTCCTCGGACCCGCAAGTTTTCTACCAGCATAGCACATTGGGTCATTGTGATATGTAAACCCCGACCACCACATCAAGGTATCAGCTATCAGTCGCACCCACGAAAAAGACTGTATAAAAATACTGCGAAAGTGTTCTGTAATTGAAACAACAAACGTGTGCAAAGCTGCTTTATTTAGGACTTACTTTCTGTCCTGTATTTCCTCGTCTCAATTATTTTACATCATATCCAGTCGTCAACGTTTTGTAGATTCATTGATTAAAACCGGTAGATATTTACACAAGATTAGTTTGACTCGAAGTAACACCAAAATACTTGTTATACTACCTGAGGGATTTGCATGTCACACTAGTTGCCAAGTACAAAAAAAATAATGCCGTAGTGTTTGGTTGCCTTTTTGCTACATTTATAGGTTAGTACATACCAGTGCACAGTAAAACTGTGCACTAGTGCAGTACAAATCCTAATGTATATCTGGAGACTTTTGTGCTTCAAAGTTTGAAAAATGTCGGAGTTGACCACACCTGTTAACTTCCTACGATATAGATATACTGAAGCGTAGACAATGTTTTACCTGTTACTTTGGTAATGCAAGTAATTTTTATGACACCTCTCTCTTTCGACTTAAGGTTAAAGAGCTTGCTATACTTTCGCTCCGAGATCCAGTGCAAATATTTCTTAACCAGGCTACTGCTCTGGCACAGCGTCTGCATCAGGAGTTCGTCCGTGTTCGTCCACATAGAGAAGATGATCGACGGGCAATCGTCGTGGCCTTACTTATGCGTTATTTTCGTCAACGGACTATAGTATTCCTACCAACTAAAAAAGACTGCCATAAAATGCATATTATGTTGGGGTTACTTGGTCTTTCCTGCACTGAGTTGCATGGTAACATGACACAAGCTCAGCGCTTGGAAGCTTTAAAGCGTTTCTCCAAAATCGATTCAACTGACATCTCCAAAACGGAAAGCGCATTAAACCAGGCATCTAAAGTGGAAAATTCTGATGTTTCATCTGTTGATATTCTTTTGGCAACTGACTTAGCGTCACGAGGTTTGGATATTCCCAATGTACAGACAGTAAGTCATATATATATATATATATATATATATATATATATATATATATATATATATATATATATACTGTTTTTAAATACGTTTCGCTCCACATTGTGTGATGTAATCTTATGCAATCTAAAGACCAAATATTAATACACTGTTTCCTCATGAAACATTTCACTAAAGTAAGAAGAACGAAATAGGTAAAATAAACTGTTCCATTTTGTAACTTCTCTTCAGCTGCAGAAAGGACAGAATGCACAGACAATCATATGGAATAAAAGCATTGATATACTTAAGTTGTCGCATGAGAAGTATCATCAAGAACTATGTATTACAACAAATCGGGTTTCGAATGAAAATATAACCTGTATCAATAACAGCGGAAAGCAATGTACATTTACATTCAATCGGAAATACGATTGTGTGAATTAATCAATGAGAAATGGTGATAAAAGAAGATGAATCACATCGATCGTAAAGGATTGGAAGTGACTTAATATATAGAACAAGCAAGTGGTCAAAGATGTTACCAGAAAGTGACTTGACGTAGTTTGTGAAGGGAAGGAAAAGTTGGGTTGGTAACTAATCCTTTCTGAAAGCAAAGTTTAGGCCTACTTTGTTTGATAATCAACGACTCGGCAAAATGAAGTAATGTTACAAATTCTGTTAATTGACGATCATTCTAAAAGTTATAAAGTTGTCCACACATTGGGTCCGGTGTCTTTGCCCTTGCACTACATTTTATTTTATAAACATATACCCTTTTAGGCTTGCATTATCTGCTGGACAGACAGCATTATGTAGACATTAGAAACCCATTTAAGACTATCGATAAACACTACATCTCATACTGCTCAGTTCAGTAGAGGCCGTTGCGATTAGGAAGTATGAACAATATGGTCTGATTTGTCTCCACTAACCACTTAAATATGCGATAGCTTTCACGGGGTCGCAAAACGTCAGGAATTAATTTTCCCACTTCGGTGGAATTTAACAAATACATTTCCTTTATAATCCACTTACCTAATGTTTAATTCTATCAGGTTAAAATTTGATCTTAATGTCTATAGTTCAATTTCTTTCTTTTTCTGTCCAAATCGTCTCTAAATGCTGCTGCAAACTTGGGTTAATGCAATTCTGTGCAAGGTTTTGCAGCTCGAAATACGCCCTGCTTCTCAGTGTAACAGAACTATTCTATAAACTCACCTCTTATTTTTCAGTGTAAAGAAGTATTAGTGATTTTACCTGGTTGTTCAAGCCTTGTCAAGTAGACCGGGTTTCTATGTCATGGCCTATTTTAAATCTAAACCAATCAATCTTGGTACCAACAAGTAAAAAGAAAGCAAGAAGTAACAAATCCAGTTAGTTGTAAAAACCGACTGGCTTTAATTTTTCCCTTAGTTCACTATCTTTTATCACACTAGATAGGGTTTGTTTACATTTTATTGGATCTCCTCTTTTATATCAAGGCTTCAATTCAATAGGTAGACGTTTATATCAACAGTTTTTTCTACGATTAATCAGTCAAGTTTATAAAGACAGTTATCCCTTAGTCACATAATGTCATTCTGGTCAAAGAATTGATCAGCGTTCGACAGGTGCTGTACTCATTCAATTCAGTTTTGGTTAGTCGGTTTGACTGCTTGACTTTCAAGCGAGGGTTCCTGAGTTTGAATACCCTCCCACCTACTTTGACTTGGGCAACTAGATAGTACCACGAACCCTTCACACAATGTGTGGCGCGTAACCTATTACGGAAACTTATGCCGAGCATACGATATCCATTATTATTACATTATTCTCAAAAGTACTGGATGTTCAAGGGACACGTTTTTTCGCACACCCTGATACAACTAACAGAACATTTTTGTCTACATGCTCTTTCTCCTTGACAGTTTCACAGTTTCTGAAGTAAATAATGGTTATTCCTACTAATGTTTATGATCCCAGTTGTATTAGTTGTCAAATAATGGCTAAATTATTGTTATTGATTCCATGGTAAAGTGCCTAATTTTTGTCCTTAGGTTATAAATTATACTCTACCACAGACTATGAAGCAGTACGTACACAGAGTTGGCCGTACAGCAAGAATTATGAACGTGGGTCGGTAAGTCTCTTTTATATAATCCTGGTTTAAAAAAGTGGTATGAACTTTGGGTTATCAGCAGTTGGAGAATTTCGGCCACACCGGGATACCCCTAATGTACCCATTTAGTAGTTTTCAAATAATAGTGAAGATAATGAATGACTACTACGTCACTGAAACCTCTTGAAAAAGATGTAAGTTCGGGGAACACTAGCAAAGCGTCAATAGTTACCGTGTATCGTAGAGTTGTTTGCTATTTACTGACGAGTCATGATAAAACACCTACCTAGTCGGAATACTCGAAGTATCAACAATAAGTACTGAGATTATGGTTCAAAAGAACAAACGCCCAACGTCACAACCAGTTTATCGTATAAATCTAAATGCTTTACATGAAACCGAATGTTTCCAAAAGCAGCTATGTATCGGTTAGTATCGTTCACTCCTGGCCTTATTTATTTGTCTCAGCGATCATTATCGATTTCTATCGCCGTTCCTGTTAAGCATTTGGCTAGTGAGCACCGTTGGTCAGCTCGAGTGGTCTACATTTATTCAGTCAGTAATATATTTCATACAACTTCCATGCTTGAGATCCTGAAGCCATTTGTGGGGTCGAGCAAATGACATTATGTGAACAGCTTGAGAGAGTCTGAAAATGTTCCGTAAAGTGATGCTGCAAGACTGGTCTGCATTGATAACTAGTTTAAAGAAAGAAAGTGAATACATTAACCAACCATATTCAGTTGGTTGCTGACAAAATGGCACAGTTAGGAAAGAATTGTCTATTATTTTCTGATTTACATCATTTAGACTGCTAATGAGCTATTCATGTACATATTAAAGTAGCTTGTTATTGTGTGTGACATTTTAGACCAAATGCCCCTTTCTGCACGTTTTTCAGTCGTTTTGTCTAAGTGCTTCTTTCATTTGAATTTAACTCTGTCCTGCAGTATTTGACGTTCAAGTTATATGCATAGTTATCCTTCTTGTAGGATCATGTAAAACATACGTCATAATTTCATGATATATTAATCACCGATGCAGAAGCTACTACCAGTTGGTAGGTTTTGGTTACAATGTGTCACTGTTATATATGAATTGAGCATCGACTTCTAAGCGGTGACTTGTATTCTCTCATGCAAAGTATATCTCTACCAAACATGTGGTTAAGCAGTCATTGGACAATAGGTATGGACCATAAAATTCCTTAATGGTAATCGATGAGACCCCAGATTGATTACTACAAAGAAATTTCCTATTTTGCTACTGCACTTTGAAAAGATTATGAACAGTTTCACCATGTTCTTATAGACATGGTATACATTGTACATATAACAAACCGAAGAATTTATCAGTGCTTAAATGTAACAGCTGCATAAAGCATCGGGAGAAGTAAAATAACTTTACGGTGAGCACAAATGCTGGTAGAAATAGATCTGCAGAATTATTTACATTTATTTAAATCATGAAAAAGTAAAGGGCTAAACTTACATTGGGATTTAAAATCCACAGCAGAAGTATTAAAAACTAAGTTAGTTGAGGGAAAGTACCCAGATTAGAATTGTGTTAAGAAATAAAATAATAATGTCATCTGAGGTTGTGGGCCTATGTTGTGATTGTAAGCTTTCCCCTTGGTACTATTTTGATAACTGATTGTGAAAATCTTCACGAAAGGCAGAAAATGTTCTTAGGGAAATCACTCTGACAAATGTAGTCTCTAAGACACTAGGCTGTATTGTCATAAGACATCTAAGTGAAGCTCGGGAGCAGCAAACCCGATACGACCCGGCAGGTCTCAGACTCGATCATAGGTGTATCGACCAGATCTTAACTCTCTATCAGGTTCTAAAACACAGGCACACCTACTAGGGGGATTTTGCTTTGTCCATCGAGTAGTCTTATGGTAGTGTCTCATTGAAACAGGTGCCATGTAAGTGCATCACCCTGTTCAAGTCTGTGTATTCGAGTACGCATGAGCGTGTCACAGCCTATGGTGAGTTGCGTATATTGAGTAGTGTTTGACAGAGATGTCCATCCCCACCTAACTTTCTCATAGACGTACTTCTGGATGTCTCCGTCGTCTGACTTTACAAAGATCAACAAGAGACTCGCTAGTAAACCTGTAGTATATCTATGGCAATCCTGTTAGTTGAGAACACTGGCAATGCTTGCTATCACAATTCCTATTTAATTTCCTTACAGTTGCACTAATGGATATAACCTTGATTACATTTGACTGCATAGATTAATCTACTCTGTCTGGAATATATTTGGCTAACTTGTCCCGCTAAGTGAAGTCGCTAACAAAATGTAGGGTCTTCTAAACACGTTGAGCTGAAATCCTAGTATATTTGGCATACGTCTCGCATCTGTTTAGTGTGAGATGATGTTCCTGAACTGCAACTACTAGTTTAAGGATAGTGAGTGAAGTAGAGGTATGTGTCGACCATTTGCATCAGCCGAAACAGGCTGCTGTCTTTGTAGCATTGCTCACGTATAGTCGAATTACCATATGAAAAAATGTTGAAGTCAGGCAAAGGGTACTAGAGAAGAAAGGCAATTCGATTGATGAGGTTGTAAACCTTCACCGACTGAAGTGGTTTGGACATGTGTTGGCCATGCCGAGCCATCGTCTACCTTGGAGTTCCATACTAAGGGTAGGTGGATTAGGTTGGAAAAGTATTCATAGTGGCACCAGCCAATAAAGTCGCTGACTGCTGGTCTGAGCCATATGAGGAGAAGCAAACTGCTTGGCTGGGGTCTCCGTGATAAAAGGAATCAGTGGTTGAGGAATTTTGGTAACATGGCTGAAAGTCAGTCACAATGTATTAATTCTTTGATGTCTTATAAAAAGCTTTGGTGTTTTGACTAACCCTTATTTTTGAATTCCTTTTCCTTTGTCTAGTTTTATATCAGTCTTTTTCTACCTACTTGTTTTTTGCATCCTACTGTGAAGTGTGGCAACTTGGACCGATGTACTTCTGTGCAAGGTTCTACGTTGGTTTTACCTCTCTTTTTATGGTGTTCTCCCAACATTTCTCATGTCCCATCGCACCAAATATCTCTTATAGAAGTACACGATATTTTCGTGGGCAACTTCGTGTTTAGGTAAGGTATTTTTACTTCTAGTTTTGGCCCTATGCCCTTCTGGTAAGAGATTTACACTTCTGGTACATTTTGAGCGGTATTTAGTTTTGCACGTTTCTGAATATATTCTTTTTCCTAACACCTACTTAAATATTGCATTTTTATAGCGCAGTGTCTCTAGTGGGAGAGGCTGATCGCAAATTACTCAAACAAATAATGAAAGAAGCTCCTTATCCAGTTAGGGCAAGGGTGATACCTTCAGGTTAGTTTTGTCAGTGAAAACATGCAGCTAATACTTTTGTTTATCAATGTTGATTCATTGTCTTCGCGAAAGACAAGCCTAGTTGATTGGTTTTCTTAGTAAAACATGAATTCGTATTGAGATTTTTAACAGCAGATATGAACGTGAATCTAAATATTCTTCTCTCATTCTAGACCAGGTGGAAAATATCCCACTTACATATTGATGGTTTGTTTTTTTGTCAGAGAGTAGATTTCCAATTGCTATCGCCGTCATATTGCATGAAGAACACTTTATTTCGGTACTCATTTTAAACTGATAATAACCAGACTATTTTTTTCACGGTTCAGGTACTAGAGGAACTTGTCAAATTATGCTTGTGATGTGTTGTGATAAACCATCTACTAAATTGGCTTCGTCTATGTTTGTAAGATGTGGGTAGTTTGGGAGGTTTTGGAAGTAGCGTTTGCTTGCTGTCTTGTCAAGTGTCAAAGACAGGTTAATCAGATGGACTATATAGTAGAGTCTTGCAAAACGTCCTTTATTGAAACGGATTACACCATGTTGTATCAAAATAGTTACAATATGGTTAACGTTGTTCCACTGACCTTGAACAGATTGTATGATGTGCAGTGTTTCACTTCAGTTCATAGGAGAATAAGTTTTTCTTCAGCTACTACAAGATTAGGCTCACATCTGTTGTATGACTGTTAGTGATTAGAGTACTCACTTGGCAAAATGATAATCAAAGATTAACAGTGGGATGGTTTTCACTTCAATTTACTATTTCTTGTGCTTTCTTACAATACTAAGAAGGTACTTTTGTAGTGGGCGTTGCTGATAAGAATGGATATAGGTAGTATATGTTGAGAGGGTGGCAGAAATCATAGGGAATTACCAGCAATGGGTAAGGATTCCGCCAAGAGAAACGCAAGAGACAAGGCAGGCGTATGAAGAGCAAATCAAGAAAGAAGCAGAAGAGGAAGTGAAGCAGATTTTGCAAATGACGGTTTTAGTGCAAGGTGTACCATATTTAGGGACTACTGTCCCACTTGTTGACAATAAACATTCCTTCCTTCATACATGTCTTCTTGTTTCTTTTACTCTTAATTCTCACTCAGCTTTGAGGTGGACAAGTTTGAACGATGTTCCATCCAAAGTTTATGTTCAACTTCACGCTATGCTACAAAGAGGTTTGTTCTAAGTGACTTGGTTGTAGCTAACAGCAGAATCCGCAACGCACGTTTTGTCCCATTTGTGACTCGTCAGCTGGATGTACATGCACCCTAGTGAGTGTTGTTCCCACTGAGGTTCCAACCTCGTATGATTTTGAAATAGTAGAGAACATTTGTAACTCAGGTGGATGGTCTTGAATGTACTGTGTTAAACAACCCAGCTCAGAGAACAATGCAATCAAGAAACGCCAAAGCGTTATCCACCAGGCCAATGAAGCATGACAGCCACCTCTTGTACAACGGGTATTAGTTATTACTATTTCTTGATACTTGTATAACTAATACACGTTGTACATGAGGTAGCTATCGTGGCCCATTGGCCTAGTGGATAACGCTTTGGCGTTCGAAGCGGTGAGTATGAGGTTCGAGTCCCAGTGGGGACATGACTCATTGGTGTGTAAGTGCATCCGGATATTAACTCCCAGGTAGGACGGAACGCACGTCTTGAATTCCGCTGTTAGCTACAATCGAATTAGTCACGACAATAAATATTCAAGCAATATAGAGGCATCCGCATAGGAGCTCATATGCCAACAAAGGTCGGTCAATTCGATCCAGTATAACAACGGAAAATCATAGGTAACCAAAAATGGTAAAGATATTTGTTCATACACACCAAATAAGGTCAAGTTCTGTAAAACACCTGAGTTATATTTGTGGAGTGATAAGAGCTAACCGTATTGCTGTCAAATTTGAATTGTTGTCTTCCGAAAGAAACCTATTTGATTCAAATGTGGTAGCTGAGACCACCTTTTAATTGGTTAGGTATATTTAGTGTTATTTTTGATGATTTTTTCTAGAGGTTATTGCCAGTTACCACTCCAAGATCACTCGTTTAGAACCTATAATTGGAAAAATTCTAGCTGCAGAAGCTGAAGAGCGAGAGTTACGGGCTGCTCAAAGTCAATTGTCTAGGGCTGAAGAGTTAGCTTCGAATATGAAATCAGGGACTATCCCGATATCCTGTGTGGAGAGGCGAGTGGACTGGTTTGCAGAACGTAAACGTGGACAGAAGGCTATTGGTCGAAGTACGTTCTTATATCTGTCACTTTTTTGGTGTCTGCTTACCAGCATACAAAAGTTCATTTTTATCATATATATTTTTAAGCACAAATAACAAGATTTTTCAGATTTTATGGTTCATTCGGTGATAGTAACTGTTTACTAGTGTAATAAGTACAGTTTGCTCTGCTTAACAAATCTTTCAGATACCATGCAGGGCAGATCAAATTTCACTATACCAATGTATACATGCAATCCGTAGATTGAAGTTGATTGCTTTTGAAATGGCTTTTTCTAATCTCGGTATTTCTATTTCTCGATGAATAAGAAACAAAACAAGCTTGTTTTTATTGACATTTTACTACTTACTGCCAATGGCTTTGACTAAGTAGTGCTAAACTATAATTCACCACATCCAAGATTATTTATAACTCAATGTTGCTTTCAATGAACGATTCTGTGTTGTCACCTGATTGGAGAGGATCCTGAGCATATCATCAAAACCAACATAGAATCAGGCATTACTGAGTAACGGTCCACATAGCCACATCTCACATCAAGTAACTAGGCAATAAAATGCTAAGTGAAGAAAAAGAAATCGGTCAAAAGAAGTAGAAAGTAGTAAGAGAGAGGAAGGAGGCGTGAGAAGATAATGAGATTAAGTATGGCGATTAGGATTACAATAATGTGTGTATGCATCTGCACCACTGATATCTATTCTGAGCCATATCACCTAGAGCCTCCAACCACTAGTTTCTATTGTCCTGCGGATCCCAACCGGCAAGTCTGCATCACCCTACATGGCTCAAACGAACAGTCAAGGACTTCATACATTGATGCCATGTTTCAGTCTGCCCACCCCCGGCATTTTTCCAGCCTGAACCTACTTCGGCCAACATTGTACAAGGCAGACAGTGGCTAGGGATACGTATCACATGTTCCAGCAATCTCAGTCGATGAAGGTTCACAACCGCATCAACCTCTTACCTCCTACGTCTGACTTCTGCGTTACTCAGTTGGTGACACCACGAAGTGGTCTGTGCTAAGAAAGAAGCGGTGGTCAAACACTTGAAGCCTTCTGATGTATTCTGCCTTTAGTGACCACATTTCACGGCCATACAGTAGAACAGAGCGGATTGCAGCGCAGTACACTCCATCCTTAGTAGGCAATCGGATCTCGCGATATTATTCTTTTGCAACCTGAGTTGTGAATGTTTTGATGGTACTTATTCTAAGGAGCTTTGCTTATAACCAACTGTCCTGAGCACACACATAGTGGTGTACAAAATGTTAACTAGCGTATCAATTCATTGAGATGTATCGTCAACTAGAAACAGGTCCATATCATTTCTTAAACCCTATGTACAACAAAATAAAACCCACATTTAAGACGACCGAAGGTTGTCAAGGGTAAATATTATGTTACATGAATTCTAAATAGATCGATCCTCTATGGCTGGGTAACGTTTATTCCGATTGAAAAACATAAGAAGACACTATATAACCTGAACCAAATACTGATTCTCTCTACTTCAATTTAGTTAATATAAGTAAGCTGTACATGGATTTCATGAAATCATCTTGGATAATTTTCAGTAAAAAGTCGATTAAAAAAGAATATCTCTGGTACTGAAACTATAGTTACAAGTATTCTTAGCTTACGGAAGACATTTCACTCTAAAAGGGATCGCAATGTGAAATAGCGATGTCGTTTAGTTACTATACAAAAGTTGATAAATGAGATTACCAACCACTTTTGCAGTTATTCTGTATGTAAATCAATTCCGTAAAGTAACCTTCACAAGAACTTTCGTGGGCAACTTCGATTAAACAAGGCCTTTATACACTTAGTTCCCCTAGACCATTTAAATAACGCAGTGATAAAACTATTTGCAGAGTAAGATGACGTCATTTTACTTCCTCGACTGTACACAACCTGGTTGGATGGACAGAAATTGCTGAGGAAGACTATCAGGTGGCCTCGAGTAACCACCTTTTTATCAATCAATGACATCAAAGTATTTTGAAATTTGGTACTACTTTTACAATAGGCAAATTATTAGCTGCCTCAATACTTCCACTGATAATAATATTCATCAGTTTTGTTTTTGTTTGCTTTTTTCGAATTTCAGAAACCAAAGTATCTAAACCGAAAAGACGTAAAACTAGTTCTGATAGTGATTCTGAATAAAATTTGACCCATATCGCTGTCTTTTGCACTCCAGTAACTTGGGTGGAATAAAAATCAATTGATATTGTAAAATAAACTTTACAAAGTTTTTTCTAAATCAGTCATTATAGCCAACTAAACATTTCTGTCCCAAAAACCGTACTGGGAAGTTCATTCCTTTTTAAGTAACTTGATTGTGTTCCCCTTTTACGAACTGACTGACTGGCGATCCATACTGACCGTCTGATCTGTTCCACAAGTGTGATGTCTTCATGGCATGCAACAAAGTAAGCCAACGAACCCACAAAGCAATCTCCAGCTCCCTAAGAGTGTAAAGTGATTGATTTAAATTTATGTAATTGCACAAATTAAGCGCAAAGTTCAAGCAAACTAGATTTATTGTTAAGAGTTGAATTTGAACATTTTACCAGAGTTTCATATCGAGTGCATTCATCTGATGTAATACAATAGTACAGTATTTTTACTGCGTGCGGATTCAAGCGTAATGTATCACTTCTAATGGTGATACGATGCAACAAACAATCTTAAGTCGGAATAAGTTTAACACGCCTGATCGTGCACACAAACTTATCATCCGGTAACATTTCCTAATTCATATTTCTGACTTCGGTGGTCTTTTGCGAATATTAGGATGAATACACCACAGCAATAGGAATACCATTTTGTTGAGTTTGTCTTAGCACACAGTCCTTAATGAATATCATCCTAACAACGATGTTCGCGGAGAATATTTACAAACATTAGGCATCGTGGTCTTCTTGAGAAGAGCTTGCAATGTACCTTTTTAATGCAAAAAAGAAAACAAGCTGTTTGTTTGGTCTTTCCGTCCTGCTAACCTAGTGGAGTCGTACTGGGAGACATGGGTACTGTAGCCTAACTTTTCAAACATTAGAATGAAGCTAACCTGTTATTATTTTGCATGAGTAATATGCCCTGAATGCCACCTTTATTTGATACGAAAATATACATTTAACTGTGTATACTTCAACACAATATGGAGATATTCAGTTAACTTACCGCTGTATCAGCAACATTTGCGACTTCGGGAGCTGCCAAGTGTACTACCAACTTTTCTTCGCCCTTTACAGAAATGTGCGCCATCACGTTAACATCCTCGCTGTATACATCTGTCATATTTTCTCCAGAAAAAGTAGCGATAACCCCTTTATTTCCTAGTGTTACTATGGGCCACTTGACTTCTTTTTCCAGTAGATATTTAAGACCTGGTATAAAGGTATGAACAGTTGACGAAGTGATCGACTCATCTTTCACGAGGAATGATCCGGCATCCGATCCCGTTATGGAACAAAATTCGGACTCATTTAGACACACAAAGTCTGAATTCGATAGAATTTCCTCTAACAATTCGTAATTCCCCACCTCGAGATTTTTAGATGGTGTTGGTGCAGGTGCAGGATTGAGAATTGTCTTCACACCATGAGCGCGACCAAGCCTCAAACTGTGGAGTGTTGCCAGGGGACTAATCTAAGTCAAGTAACAGGAAAGTAGAAGCGAATATTCCTGAGCACCATGATAGCTTATAGATGATGTTTATTTATCATTTTGCATTTGATCTGCTTACATAATAGCGTAGAATGATAAACTGGGACACGAATAAATGGGTGACCTTTTGCTGTAGTTAACTACTATTAAATTTGTTTGTGCCGAATTAGTCAAATCACTCGTATTTCTAAGAGTTAAAGGGATAAAGTGAAGTCACTTTTCTAAATCAATTGTCACCCTTTATTTGAGTCCAATTTTTTGAAAGACGATACTTACGGGATTCCGTTTATTTTTTCGACACAAGTATGTATGGTTAAATGGGTGCTTTCCTACCGTGTACAAGCAAATTTCCACACAAGAGAGTGAAAGCTTTTGATACTATCTTTTCACAAACATAGTAGTTCATGATTTTATTAGGATATGCACTGTATCTGTGTGGGCTGCTGAAAAGTTATCCCACAAATCTTTAAAGGAGTGAGCCGTGGACGACAAAGGCTTAATCCATGAGCAAAAAGCAATAAATTTCTTGGTTAACTGAATGGTCTGCCAAATAATGATCATTAACGCAACGGGTGTAATTATAAAGTAATCTTACTTCAAACTGACAGATTATCACTTTCGTATTGAAGAGCATAAGTTGTTGTTCTGCGAGATTGATGTCATCCTCTGATATTAGCATATTTGCACCAGGGACGATGATTATCTGGTTTCCACCTGTCCCAACTTCAACAGTAATCGATGCAACTCCAGTACCACATTTTGAAGATTTCGTTACACCATCTAAGTTCAAGTGAGCATATTTTTGGATCAAGACAAGTTCAAAAGAATTATTTTAAATCTGTCATATGGGTAAATTTATGTTTGTGCTCTAAACACTAGAGGTGGTATATGTGTCATGTTGATGTCAGCTTTAATTAATTATAACTATCATAATATGCTATGTGACAAGTGCTTACTTCACTAACTAACTGTACAAAGACCTATTTATTATCTAAAATTTCGAAAATGTGAATTAGCATTTGCCCAGTGGTTTTGTGTTAGTATATCAATATTTACGTTCATTTTCCTATCTCCTGACTGAGGTCCTGTATCTGTATAAAGTACGAACAACTTTAGTTCTCAGAAACCTAGTAATTCATTGTTTATCCTCAAGTGATTTTCCAGATAGCACATTTCCTAGAAGGAGAAGTCATCTTCATAAAAATAGTATTCTGATGGTTGGATGACAGACGGACAAAATCAACGTAGAACCTAGCGCATCGGCTCAAGTTGCCACACTTCACAGTAGTACAAAAAGAAAGGTGGATAGAAAAGGAGTTGAATCAAAGTAGACAGAGTTATTTGAGAGAATAAACAATCTGAAGAAGCCTTCGAGGATGTCAAGAAATGAATGCATCTGCGCCATTGTGACCTATTTCCAGCCACATCACTAAAATTCCACAACCCCTGATTCTTTTCAGCTTGGGGATCCCAACCAGGCCGTCTACATCATGACCGAAATCAACATAGGATCACCTGCATATTATTAGGTCTACCAAAAGTTCTCTTGTGATTAGGTCAATACCTGTGACGAGAGGGAGACCTCCGTAAGAACACGTGGCAAAATTGAATAGGAATGGGAAGTGGGCATTCTTGACGCACACCACTTGACGTACACAGCTCACCCAACATCTCATCATATGCTCTACCACGTCTGCGAGTAATGAGCTTTCAATAAGATGTAGTCGAACATACGTCGTTTGGTTTTGGATTACTACTGATGACTGATATAAGCCATTTCTTTGTTGAAGAACATAATAAAGGTAACTCCTTTTTGTGTAACCGCTGTCCAGCATACCTTTCTGGTATATTAGGATCTCGAGTGAAAAAGCGTTGCTCCAGCATAGATCGTCGGGTCATCGTGATATACAAGCCCGGCCACCACGTCAAGGTAGCAGCTAGAGATCAGGATGCAGTCTAAATCGCCTCACACTACTCAGACCAACAATAAGAGACTTCATCGACTGGTCCCGCATCTTGGTGTCATCACCCTGAACCCTCTTCCAACCTAATCCACCTCTTCCTAGCATCGCACATCGAGGTAGGTGGTGGCTCGTCATGCGCAGTACATGTCCAAGTCACCTTGACCGATGAAAGTCCACGATCTCATCGACCAACTTTCTTTTCTTGTGTAGTAACTTCTACCTGATTTCGATATTGCTCACGTGGTGATATCACCAAACGCGAGCAATGCTACGAAGACACATGTGATCAAGGTCTTGTAATCACTTCACGTTTTCTACTTTTAATGGCCAACTCTCGCAGCCGTACAACAGGACTGAACGGACTGCAGCGCAGCACACTCGTCCTTTGATAGATGGTCGGGTATCTGGTCAGTCGACTCGAGAGGTGAGGCAAGTTGGCGAATGTCAAACGGGCCGTTTGTATCTGAGCCAATATTTCTTTCGTCAGCGACCAGCCCATTCGAGCTGATGCAACTCTCCGAACAAGTGAAGTAATTGACACATCCCACTGCTTTACTCCCTATCACTAACTGGAAGTATTACAGCAGAACAGTTCTGAAGGTGTGAAACGCTTGCCGAACATATACAGTTTCAGAAAATACTATATTTTGTCAGTGTTATGATGCGGAGCGGTGACAACGAACGAAAATACTTAACGACTGTTAATGATTGAGACGATTCAACTCGAGTGATTCGCAAAGAGAAATCAAAAGACTGGAAATCAGATGAGTTTATAGTATCTCGGACTGAACACGTTTATGAGTGAAAGGCGACCCTATCTACAAAGTTAGCAGTAACCTTGAAAGACAAGAGATAATTAGTACACCTAAAGAGGGAGGAGACAAACAGAACAATAACGAGTCATACGAAATATGACTCATGCGCGGGAAGAGAGCGCGAATAAACCAAACCAAACGTATACAAAGTGTAAGTATGGAATATTATTATTATTATTATTAGTCCCTTGGGTTCCTAATGGAACATAGGGCTTCAGTAGCACGTCTCCATTCCACTCTGTTCTCTGAAATCTTTTGAACCCGGCTCCACGACAGCCTACAAGCACTCATTTCCTCCTCGCACGATCTCCTCCATGTCACCCTCGACACTGACGCTTAACTCGTCGCTTCTCATGGGGATTCCACTCGAGGCACTGGCCTGACGCGTGATCTCCCCAATCGGACTTCTCAGTGTATACCCAATCCATCTCCACTTCCTGCTGCTGCATATTTGTTGGGTGATAGGCTCCTTGTTGCTTATTCTTCCTGGCCATCTGATCTTCAGTAGCGAGCCAGCGTAGGGGGCAGTTGTTGATGAATGTCTGTAGTTTATTGGAAATCCCTTTCGTGACGCGCCAAGTCTCTGAACCATACAGAAGCACTGGCTTGACATTGATGTTGGGAGTCCGAATCTTGTTCCACATGCTGAGTGCAGAAGATCTCCACACTGGTTTCAGGCTAATGAACGCCTGTCTTGCCTTTCCGATTCTGACTTTGACATTCTCGTCTGTGCCTGTGCCGCCTGTAGTTGAAACAGTGCTTCCTAGGTAGGTGAAGGAGATTACTTCCTTTAGGTTTCTCCCATTGATGGTGACTGGAGTTTGGTGTTGGAGTTGTTGGTGCGGTTATCCTCATCACTTCTGTCTTCTCTATATTCACCTGAAGTCCCGTCTCCCCTCACTGCCTCTTCTGCCAACTTGTCAGTTTTCGCCTGTAGATCTTCAAGTTTGTGTGACATCAGGCACAAGTCATCGGCAAAATCCAGATCTTCTAGGTTCTTTTCCGCAGTCCAGCCAGCGTATCCCCCTTTTCTCACAGCTCTCCGCTGTTTGCTGCATGATACAGTCCACCACAATAAGGAATATCATGGGGGATAGTAGGCAACCTTGTTTCACTCCTGTCTTCACTTCAAAAGCATCACTGAGCACCCCATTGTGAATTACTTGGCATGTGGCATCTTCATATAGTTGTTGAATGAGGTGGATAAAGGTTTGCGGTACTCCGTAGTAATGAAGCAGTATCCAAATTACCTCTCGGTCGACGCTGTCAAAGGCCTTCTCAAAGTCAATAAAGTTGAGGTAGAGAGCTGATTGCCATTCTATGCTCTGTTCTATGATGATGCGAAGCGTTGCAATTTGGTCTGCACATGATTTGTACTTCCTGAAGCCAGCCAGCCTGTTCCGGTCGCAATATTGAATCCAGTGCATCCTTTGGTCTCTCCAAGATGATACGACTTAATATTTTGCTTGGAGTGGACAGGAGCGTGATTCCGCACCAGTTCTTGCAAACACTGAGGTATCCCTTCTTCGGCAGTTTGACAAGGTAACCCTTCTTCCAATCAATGGCCAGGTACCTTCCCTTCCTTCCACACCTTCTGCAATAGTGGTGTGGTGTGAGCATGTCCGCTGTTGTCTCTGCGTCTGTTCTCAGTGCTTCTGGTGGGATTCCATCTGGTCCTGCTGCTTTCCCACATTTCAGTAGCCTCATGGCTTTCAGGACTTTGACTTTTTTTGGAGGATTTATGTTCACTTGTAGTTCTGTGGCTGGGCTGTAGGTGGTATTTTTGGACGAAGTGCAGGTGGTGGTGGTGGTCGATTCAAGAGCTTCTTGAAGTGGTCGGCCCATTGTTTCCTTTGTTTCTCTTCTTCGTAATTAAATTTCCATCATCATCTTTTACTGGTTTCGTCTGCGTTTGTCTCTCTCATCCCAGATAGCGACCTGGTTATTTGATACAATGTTGTCAGGTCTCTCTTACCTGCAGCCTATTCTGCTTCACTTGCCAGTGTTTCGTACAGGTGTCTTCTCTCTTTCCGTGCACTCTTCTTCACTTCTTTGTCCAATGTAGTGTTTTATACGTTGTACTCAGATCCTCTCCTCCTTGTTCATCCTTGCACTCCACTGGTTTATCTTCTGCTTCACCATCCTCCTCTCCCTCCTCTATCAGTTTCCATGTAAAGATCCGTCGAGATCCATTCCTTGTCTTCTTTCTTTTTCCTTCCTAATACGCTTGGTTATGCAGATTTCTTTACACATCTCTTTCAAAGACTTCCAGTGTTCTTCCACACAGGTTTCTTCAGGGATGTTCCTCGATATCTCCCATTTTGTCTTGATGGCTGACTGACGTGAAGATTTCCTTTGTAGTTTCGTCGCTCAGTTTTCGAGTGTTCAACTTGAACTGTGGTCTATTACTAGCTTCTTTGAAGGCTTTCAACTTGATTTTGAAGGTAGGTTCCTTGCACTAGATAGTGAGTGGTGTGAATCTACATCTGCTCCTCTTCTTGACCTTGTGTCAAGTTGGCTGACTGCGTCTCCACTTTCTTCACATTGAGATGAAGTCGATCTGATTTTTAGTGTGTCTGGTATCTGGTGAAATCAACTACATGTTGCTTTGTGGATATCCTTGTGCTTGAACACACTGCCTGACTCCAATCACCAAATCATTGAATGCACAGAATTCTGCAAACAATTCTCCATTCTCGTTCATCACCTCACCGAGCGCTTCTCGACCCATGGTTAGTTCTCTTCCTGTGTTGTCCCCTCCCAGTTTGGCATTCATGTCGCCTATTAGAATTTTGATGTCACCAAGTGAGGTGGTGTCTTGTCCAGTGTTGATTGAAGTTGTCTGTAGAATTCCTCCTTCTTCTCTTCATCTGCTTAACTATTTGTAGGTGTGTGGAGTAGCATTGTATGATTGTGACCTTCCTTCCTTTTGAGTTGAATCTTGCTGTCATGATCCTGATCGCTGAGAAGATTGGTTCCCACTGTATGAGAGAGAGCCTTCGATGCTGTTGGGGACATCGTGATAGCCACTCCAATACTTAGTGTGCTCATGGTTGTCATCTGGGTGACAATATCGGAGTAGATTATTGATTCTCCAGTTGATAGTTTGGAGAGTCCACTTCCATTCCATCTGCTTTCGCTCGCAAATTCCTAGCACTTGAGTGTGATACCTTCTCATCTCGTTTGCAATCTGGGCTGCCTTACTGGGTTCAAACATCGTGCGGACATCCCATGTCCCCACGTTTACTTTCCCTTTCATCGACAGGGAGGAGACACATCGGCCAATTGGCTTCCAGAAGGCTTTCACCAACTGGCGTCATTTCGCCTCTACGATTCCAGCGAGGAATAATTTTGTTTTTATTTTTAATATTTTGTTTGTGCTTTGAAGATTTTTTAGCGGTTAGATTTGTTTTACGGGGTAGGTTTGCTAGCCCTATGTTCAACCTTCCCTCTTTACCCGGGCTTAGGACCGGCTAGTAACTAGTGAACTAGTTAACCAGGCGAGGTATGGAGTATAGGCATCCCTAACAGGCAGGGTCTTCACTTAGCAGGACATTGTTGTCTACCTATTACAAGTCAACCAGACATACTTCAGGGAGAGTAGATCAATCTACGTTAGGTGAGATGTAAATAAAGTTATGACCATTCATACACCTGGACACTTGGACATGAACGGTGACAGCGGGCATACCTAGAGGAAATCACTGGTCGTCGTTACTTCAGATAATAGCTTTCCGTAAGCCCTCATGCGACTGTGTAAGTTCGAGTAAACAGCTTTTATTTACAATAAATATTCGGTACTTCTTTCACCATCACAACACTTCAAGGTTGATTGAGTAAAATGCCGCCTTCAGGTCAAGAAATATGGCAAATGATGACCACTTGTAGGTATGCCGTGTTCCAGAACCTGTCAGAGGGTAAAAATGTGATCGATGCAGCCTTTACCAGATCTGCAACCTGCCTGATTTTCTCGACATCTAGTCAGTTGACGGATAACTATAGAACCTAGGATCCTTGACACTACTAATTCCCCTATGCTTGTCACAAGAATATTTCTTTTCTTTTCTTACAGACTGGGATGATCAGTGTGACAGCACTTTTTCTGACTTCCATACACCACCTAGTACCTTTATCACTTTAATTAGTAGTTTCCTACCTCTACCCTTGAATAATTCACATGACAAACGGTCAGTTCCTGAAGCTTTGCGTCGTTTTAGGTTCGATACAGCTTTCTCGACTTCAAGGAGAGTTGGAGGATCAACGCTTACGTTTCATTCAGGTTTATACTGCGTGCTGGGCAACTGAAGCGTTGCTGAGGGCCTGTTGAATTGTGTTTTTAAAGTGTTCTGCCCAATGCCGATAGCCGCCTATCTTGGGAGGCTATCGGCATCCCATCATTTTCCGTGATGGTTTCTTCTTACCGGTATGCTTAATAACCCTAAATAGTTGCCGAATGTTACTCAACGCTGATGTCACTTAAATCTCCCTACCTTTTGCCAACCACCACTGCTCGCCAATACTGTTGGCCAACTAACGTTTACGTTGCTTTCGATGTTTTTCGTGGTAAGAGCCAGCTGGAGTCAGTCTTCTCGCATCAATCTGATCCGATATCGTGGATGTCCAGTGACATTTTCTGTCTCTCGGATGCAGGTTATCAGTTTTTACTACGCACTTGATATGACGCCAGGCTTCCTCAGAATGAGAATTTCTGTTACGTTCAGATAAATGTCTAGATAGCTCTTCCCTAAATACGTACTTGGCGTCCACATCTTCCAGTCGAGCATAGATAGGGTTCACTATCCCCTTTTTCTTGCAACCAGTAAGTTGCAGACATACACGAGCGCGTGAACGAAGTCTAAAATGGTACCCCAGAAACAGCGGCAATCCTCTACCGATCCTCTCTAAAGATGGCTTGTAGCAATGCGATCTATCTGTGTCCATCGTTGGTTTGAAGTCGGTAGACGCCATGTGAGACAATGTCTCATGTCTGAAGTTAGTGCTGGCCAGGAACAAGTGACTATTGGAACAAAATTGCAAGAGACGACCACCGTTGTCGATTCAATGACATGGAATCCCGTAAGTACCCGCGTGATGCCTTTCCAATTGGCTCAGCTTCCCTAGTTGAGCGTTGAAGTTACCTGCCGTCTGAACGTTTTGCTTTCTGTAGCAAACTTGACAGCTCATAGAATTCATCTTTTGCGTCATCCGAACTAAAGTTGGTGGGTGCATAGGCGGACATGACTAACAGGCATCACCTGGTTTAACAATCCTTCCTAGGCCTTACAGACCCATTAAGTCGAGCAGCACATAGACGGCTGTTCACTGGTATCCAGTCGAGAAGCGCATTTTCTACTCTGCAGCTCAATGCTATGCTTACTCCAGCGAGTCCTCGAGAGCTGGTCACTGGGTCTCCAGATACTCGTGAGGTGAATTTTGAAGATTCACTACTATGGCCAAGTGATGTCAATTTAATAACCACACTTGATTCCTGTATACGTGTCTTTGAGATATAGCATATATCCATGGCTAGAGATTCCAGAGTTTTTGCGAGCGATGCTTGCTGTCCAGTTCCTCATAGAGTTCCGATGCTGAAAGCTCCTGAGTGAAATCGATGGCGAGATCTTAGGAGACTAGGAATGTGGTTTCGAAAGCTTTGATCGTTAGCAATGGTTGCACAGTGAGAGGTTGGGTGAGGCGTGAGAGGCTTAATATTAGTGTCAGGAGGTGAAGGCTAGGGAGGAGATAGTTGAGGTGGATAGGTTATGTTTGGTTGGGTCTTGTGTGTTATTTTTGGGGCCGACTTGTTCCAATCCCCCTTCAGCATGGGACTGCTAGTCATTCAAGGGAAACACCGTATTGCTGTCACACCGCATTCAGCTAGCAGCAATATGCCCTCAGACCTCTATCATAGTGTAGTAATTTAAAATACAATGATAACTGCATTTTGTCTCGCCACTACTCAACAGACCTTTCTGTCATAGTAGAATATTGAGGGAACAAGCGTTCCACCAGCATAGGTCGTTGGGTCATTGTGATGTAAAAGCCCGGTCACCACGTCAAGGTAGCAGCTATCGGTCGGGGTAGAACCTCGCACATAATTGCATTGGTTCAAGTTACCACACTTCATGAGAGCATGCACAGAGTGGATAGCATTCCTACGAATATAGTTAACAGCTGCAGTTGCTAACATATCTTCACCTTCATTCATTTTGCTATTTTATTGGCCTAATTTATGATTTTTAAGCAATCATTCAGTGGTGGATAGCTATCACCGAATCACCAAGTAGGTATTGGTGCACATTTCGGTTTTCCATTGCAATTATACGTAATTTTAGAATGCATTAACATGAACTGATCCAAAAGCCTAGGAAATACTAATGCTATGAAACTGATGGGTGGAATATAAGAATGGCGAAGGAATTATAAATTCTGCTTTTGAACACGATGGTTGTGAAAGTACACATCCGTCAGTTTGGGTCTTTTCTAACAAATTGTTTATCTCAGTGGCCGTTAAACAGTGTTAAAACGATAAATGATTTGAAATCACTGATAAACAAACCAAAATACCCGTCGCCAATTAAGTTATAGCAGTGAATAAACTGATGTCACATGTTTTTAGTGAAAGATGTGAAATATATTACTGAGATACTGTTAAGGAATCCCCAGTTTCTTCACGATCGACTATCCATGTTGTACTGCTCTGTTTTGCTTTGCTCTCACTTATGCATAACCAACTAAACCCTTATATGTCGGGCTTTTTCTGTACGGCCGAAACTAAAGTCTAATTGTCTTTGTACTCATGCCATCTGAGTCATACATATATACAAATCAATGTCATCTTCACAACGCACTATAATCAACAAAAATGAAGTAACTTACTTCATGTATAGAAATTAAGGCAGTGTACGGTAATCGATGCCACGTAACATGCAATTATTTTGTAGCTACAAACCGTACGGGATTGAGCAAAGAGCCAACAAGCTTTTAAGGGAGGTTATAAAATGAGTCCTGAGCAAAATGTCTGTTCAAATGAAATGATACAGTTGGTAAGACTTGTCTGAGATTCCCACTTTTATTTCTTCAGCTCGTTACTTAGGATGCTAAAGTGAGTGTAACTATAAGGTCAATCAATATCAAGTTTTAACAAGACACTCGAATATCTTTATATACCAGGAGAATAAATGAATCGCAACTTTATACCCTTAACCATCGGATAATGATGACATTCGCTTTAACTTACCAGTGTTTACATCAAGCTGTTTCAAGTATTGAATAAACATTTCTCCAAAATAGTCTTCACCAACTTTCCCAACAAGTGCAGTTTTGCAACCTAGTATTTTAGAAGCTACACACTGGTTTGCTCCTTTCCCGCCGTAACCGAGGAGGAAATTTGATCCAGTCACCGTTTCTCCGAGTTTAGGCATAACGTTTGTATATCTTACAAAATCACATTTTTGAAATTGTTTAGTTACATAGATAGATCGGCGTTTAAAGAACCTATAACCGTAACATGAAATTCTGTCATGATTGAAAATCCGCAGTTATTGCTTTACAGAGTCCGTCTCTATGATTGAAAAAATACATATGGTGTTACATTCAATAAGACAATTTAAAGACAACAATAAAATTTTAAAAATAAACAATCTGAACGGAGAATATTGTTTCCAGTACATCCTTACCAGGTTTCACAGTTTTAAAAATAGATGAAAGGGGTTAAGATGGATTTCGCCAGATTGCATGTTTGTTGAAACGTTGATTTATATGAGGTCAGTTATGTATACTGGGAGTTAAAATTATAACAAAAATCACAGGAAACGGTTTAAATTGGTGGCTGAGACATACTTTCCTTTTTTTGTAGTACATACAACACATTTTAATGTCGACATTAGATAGGAAAAACCTGCATCAGTTCAAGTTGCCATAATGTGTGACAACTATGAAGCATAAAAATAATGGTAGTAGCAAACAAAAGTATGAGGTTATAACTCCGTTAGGCCATATTTGCCTGCGGGCTGAATAAGCTTAGGTTTGGATTTTTCGAAACCAAAGATATTTTGGTTAACATGTACTCACTTTTAGGACATAGTTACTGCTACCCATAGGTAACTTAATACTGCTAAAAAACCACTTCATTGTTTCTGCAGGAGTTTGGTAACAAGAGATACTTTCTTATCGAAACTGGAAAACATAAACCATCGACGGTTCTCAGCTTATCGACACTGCGCATTGACCTGTGCAAATACACCAGCGAGGCTAAACCCCAATAAATGATGGACGAAAAGTTCCAGCGACAAGCTTAATCTGTCCTGAAGTGCAAGAAACTGCGAGAGTATGGTAAGTTGTAAGTTTGGAAATCTAAAACAGGGAACCTTTTAATAAAGTGCAAAAGGTACTGAAACGTATTCACAGCGTCGCTTAGTACACAAAACTTGCTGAGATGAATGCAGGTCAGAGTACTGTGGCGTCCGAAGTAACAAGAAGGACAAAGACATTGAAATACTAGTTATTTCCCACGAAATTGAAAAGTGAACAAGAGGTGTCATGGATATGCAGGTAGGGTACAGTCAACCCAAGTAGCCTATCACAAGTTTTAAAGAGCCATTAATACCACCGATAGCATGATGGGTCATTAATGGCATACTAATGGTCATCAGCACGTCAAGTATGGGGAAGTTCATTGATTCTTCATCAGTCTTGAGGAACACAGTAAGCGCAAGTAGGTCTAGAAGCTCCACCTTTGAGATCCAGCTTTACTGCATAACGGTCTAGGTTGTCACATTTCACCAAGGCAGAAGACAAGAAGGTGAAGGACAGAGAAACAAGAAAGTAGTCAAATTGGTAGAAAAACTTAAAAAGAGAATAAGGAGGGGTGAGACAACACTGAAATTTGGAATGATGGTTACGATGAAGATAATAAGCAGATATACCTGCACCACCAGTTCTGAGGCATATCACCTGTAGTCTCCAACCACTGGTTTCGGTTGTTACGCGGACCTCAACTGGAAAGTCTGCACCTCTCAACATGGTTCGGACCAACTGTCAAAGACTTCAAGGACTGACATCGTGTTCTGATCTGCCCGCCTCTAGCGTTTTCCCATACTAGACCTCTTGCAGGTAACATTGCATGACGGGGCAAGCAGTGTCTAGACATATGTAACACATGTTCCAATCACCCCAGTCGGTGAGATTTCACAACCACACCAACCAGCTTACTCAAAACTTTACATCTGACTTCTACATTATTAACGTGGTGGAACTATGAAACATGGCCTACGCTACGAGGGCAACGGTGGTCGAACACCTGACTGCTCTGCCCTATCTATGCTGGTTGGTTGTTGTGAAAGAATGCAACGAGGTTGTCGTATCCAGCAAGTGGATGTTCAGTGGTAATTTATGTCTCTTCAAAGATAATCTTGATGTTGAAGACATAAAACATGGCATAGCTCCCCAGTGATTGGGCAATGATAGACTGCAAAAAGTTAGTGGAGTGTGGTAATGTTCACGGCAATTATTTTAATGACGACTTCAGATTCGTGGGAGGAGACAGTGAAGTTGAAGACAGTAATCCAGAAACATCATGGTTAAGAAGATCGGGTGATTGACGATGAAGTCACATACTCATTGCCGGAGGAGACACATTTCATACAGAACTTACATTTTCAGTAATATCGTGTTTCTAGGTAACTGAACTTTGTGTTAATTAACTGTATTGCAGCACTTCCAGACAACACCAGTCGTTGCTTGCGTCCTAACCTACTTCTTCTGCATCGAACAACGACCAGATGACTGGAGATATCAACCTTATATGAAGGCATGCTAGGAGAAAACGCCAAGATCGTTAAGTAAATATGTTCCTTGCTTAAAGGGAAACTGGATACGAGTGGTATGCTGCATGAAGACTACCAAATGCGTTATCCCGTGGAAACAGAGGAGTAACTTGATATGCTAGAGGCATCGTTAAAAGATCAAGGGTTTCGAGTCTTTTGGAAAGACAAATACGCGTCATATATTGGTTTTTAGACTGGAAAGCTGTTGAGGAAAATAACCTCAGATATCAAGGGACCTACAAGGTATACGCTAGCTGGTTTACTATTGCCTGCATTAGAAAATTGTTACACTCCGATGGGAACACCTAACAAGCTGGCATTATGTAAATGCTCTTTCTACAAGGTTATTCGATGTAAATACTTCATCCGGTGATAACTTACTGCTTTTGTTTCAGTCATACTACTTGTAGAATTCAGTCACCCAGGGATATGGGAGAATGAACTTATGAAGGAAATCGATGACGCTAAGAAGGCATTTTTCCATGGCCTTCGGGAGAGGGTTTTGAAAAGTGCCAGATAGAATCAATCAGAAGTAAGCATTCCTTTGTCACTCTCTCCACCTAATTTTTACAATGCATTTAAAGTTTAGTAATAAAACAATAATTTTTTGTATTTCCAGAAAAACAGCGGAGTGCAAAATGAAGCTGACTCAGTAAACAGCGTTATCACGCTGTCGACAACTAAGGGGAGATGATGCGGATTAAAGGGGGGGAAGTCGACAATTAAAGGAAATAATGAGGATTATAGGGGGGAAACCGACAAAAACGGGGGGAAAGCGTAAAAGGGAGAAATCGATTGCATTTCCCCACAAATGTCGCTTTATTTAACCATTAACCTCCCCCTTTATTTCCCTTGTATTAGGATGATTTTCCCCTTTTTAGTCTGTATGGGGAGTTTTCCAGAACAAACAAATATTATTCCCATAGCATTCGAAGTAAAAACTAGTTATCATCCTTCCTTTTCGGCTTTTCAGGATGAATTATTACATGGGTTTAAGTAACACACCGACGGAGTTGTAGAGAAAATTAAGAGTGCTTCGTGTTTCTGGAAAGCGCATTGCGAAGATGACATTCTGATAACCACTTGTTCATTTAAAATGTTAGCGTATTTCGAAGTTTGTAAACTATTGAATACATTTCACCTACCTGATGAGTTGATGCTTTTTGAAATCGTCTTAGTTTTATCAGTGTACTGTAAACTGTAAATAAAAAAACGACGGGGAAAGTAGGCAATCCTGGGGAAATTAAGGGGATTTCAGAGGGAAAAGTAGACAAATCAACGCAGGGTGGAAGAGGAAAGAGACTCAAGGAGGGAGTTTAAAACGGAAATGGTTGCATTTCCCCACGAGTTATACAGCTTCCTCCTTATTTCCCACTTCTTCCCCTTTTATTCGACCTATTTTCCGTTTTTTGGTCTGTATATCCAGACCCATATGGGTCGTCTTATTATCGAGGTCATGAGCGTGAGCTCATATGGATTGATATCGCAAGATAGCTGTCATAAATGCGGTGAAAAAACTAGGAGAGTTTATAGACGACGTTAGCAACGATATCTTTTTAAATGACGTCACACTTAGAACGGAAAATGAGAAAAAAACAACTGTCTGGCCAACATTGCACTCAAGGTCGACCTTGAATGATCATTTGGTGAAAGTCACTTGGAAGCATCAAATTTTAGGTATTGCCGCTACAGGGTATAAAATAAACCGATATTTTATCACCTAAATTATATATATATATATATATATATATATATATATATGCATATTCACGTAAGGCAGCCGATGGAAGAGCGTATCAGACACCAGTCTGTAAGTCAGACCTCGACGTCTATCAAATTGAGCGGCTAATCGGCTTCAGGGTCATTCGTGAAGGAAGGCTTTAGAGGCTGCCCTAACAACTGTCAAAAGAACTAATCAGGTTACGGTATTTTGTGTGGGAACACAGTTTTTCACAGAATGGAGAAACGTGCTTAGTCGTCTCATCAGTTGCTAGGGTGGCTTTTAAAGCCAACTTTGTGGATTTCTATGGTATGTTGATTGTTTGTTTCTTACTTGTTCAACGAAGGTAATTGTGTTGGGAGGCACAGCTTAGCTATATATTCTTGTCAGCTACACTTGGAAAAAATGTCGTGCCAATCATTGTCATTATTTGTCTTTTGGGTTTCTAATGGAACATAGGGCTTCGGTTGCACTTCGCCTCTTCACCCTCTTCTCTGCAGTATTTTGAATCTGGCTCCACGTCCACCTACAATCTTTTATTTCTTCCTCACATGATTTCCTCCATGTCACCCTTGCCACGGACGCCCAACTCGTCGCTTCCCACATGGGTTCCATTCGACGGCCCCGCCTGACGCGTGATGTCCCCGAACCGTCTTCTCAGTGTATGCCCGATCCCACCCATCTCCACTTTCTCCTGTATATTTGTTGGGCGACAGGTTCTTGGTTGTTTCGTTGCCAACCAGCCAGAGCTCCTTATTGCTTGTTCTTTCTGGTAATATGACCTTCAGCATCGAGTGAGCGTGGGCGACGGCTGTTGACGAATGTTTGCAGTTTGTTGGAAATGCTTTTGGTAACGCGCCAAGTCTCTGAACCATATGGAAGCACTGACTTGACGTGGATGTTGAAAATCCGGATCTTTTTCTCTATGCCGAGTACAGTAGATCCCCCCGCTGATTTTGGATTGATGAAGACCTGTCT